CAGTGCACAGTCTGACCTCATCACGCTGGGGCCAGGCACTGAGAGCATGCAGCAGAGCAGCAGGGGGAGCAGACTGATGAAACCCCTGGGGAATACCAAATATAGACTTGGGAGACAGAGTTTGGCACCCCATCAGACTTGACCGGAAAACACTCATAAAAGCCAACAAATAGACCCTGAACTATTTATACGCTTTTCCATTTTTGGCAGTGGCTTTCTTTTTGTTATTGTTATTTTGTTCTTGCTTTCTGCTACTGTTGTTATTGTTTTGTTGGTTTTGACTTCCTTTGTTGTTTTATTTGGCTTTGCCTGGTTTTTGCACTTATTAATGTCTCTGCATGTCTACTTGATAAGATAAGCGGGATAAATAATTCAGAGATGAAAAGCACAGGGCCAATGGTTCTGGGGGGATACGGGAGAATGGGAGGTGGGAGAAAGGGGGGGAGGGGACCAACCCCACGGACAAGGGAACAACAAGTGAATGGAAGGAATCAATGGAAGGAAGGTCGTAGGATGCCTAGTGGGGCTCAATCAAGGGCAATGTAGCAGTGAGGAATCACTAAACCCAAATGAAGGCTGAACATGATGGTGGGACAAGAGGGAAATAAAAAAGGAAATAGAGGAAAGAACCAGGAGGCAAAGCACATTTATAGAGGCCTAAATACAGGCATGTACATATGTAAATATATATAATGAGAGGGGAATAGAACTATGAACTCATATCTATATGTTAATTAAGGTTGCAGATGGACATTGGGCCTCAACTCAAGTACTCCCTGAACACAAGAACACTTTGTTTTAACAATCCAGCCTTCTGTGATGCTCACCTTCCTGACACGATTGCTGAAGACAAAATAGGTGCATAAGCAAATGTAGTCAAGAAAGCTGATGGTGCCCAGCTATCAAAAGATATAGCGTCTGGTGTATTAAAGGCTTAAAGATAAACAAGTGGCCATCTAGCTCAGAAGCAACAAAGCCCACATAGAAGAAGCACACCAGCCTGTGTGATCACGAGGTGTCGATGCGGTCAGGTATCAGGCATCTAAGACCCAGAATAAAACCATACCCAAGATGAATTAGGGAAGAGGGTGGAGGGCATGGAGTGGAGACCCAATGCCCATCTGTAGACAATTGGACATACCCTCACAGAGGGGTACAGGGAAGAGATGAGCCAGTCAGGGTGCAGTATAGCACCAATGAAACACAACTTTCCTCTAGCTCTTTGGTGCTTCCTTCACCCCACTATCATGACCTCAATTCTACCTTACAGATTAGACCAGAGCATGTACACTGCTACAAATAAGAGCCTGCAACACAGGGAATCCAGGACAGATAAACCTCTCAGGGCCAAGAAGGAGAATAGAAGTACCAGGAGGATTAGGGGAGCGTGGTGGTAGAGAGAGGGAATCGAGCACAAGGATCAACCTAGGGCCGCCCCCTCCCAGAGGACGAATAACAGAAAGGTGGGGAAGGGGCAACAGAGGACGATGTAAGTTATGTAAAACATAATCTATAACTTACCAAGGGTTTGTGAGGGAGGGTGGGTGGGGGTGAAAGGGGGAAGAAATGGGGAGCTGATGTCAGGGGCTCAAGTGGGAAGAGAATGCTTTGAAAATGATGATGGTGGCATATGTGCAAATGTGCTTGACGCACTGTTGAAATGTAGGTGATAAGAGATGTAAGAGCCCCCAATAAAGGGTTTTTATTTATTTTGTTTTTGGGAAGCAAAGCAGAGTATTCAGGTTTTGCTGATGGACTCCGGGTGCAGCAGTGAAAGATACTGGAGGAGATTAAAAGGAACACGGCGCCAAGTAGGAGATATATTTTACTTTGATGATATTACGGAACTTAAAATAGGATTGCAACGTTCTCACTTAGGAATGCTTTAGAAGAGAATGTATACACACGCATATATCCACAGTACAGTTTAAAGAACTAGCAAACAACCTGTACAAGGGTAAGTAAAATAATACGGCTACACAAATCACAGACATCTTTGATGACAAAGAACAAAATGTGTAATTAGTCTCTCTTGACAGGGCCTTCATCTACGTCTGTAACGCTTCTGAAAGCAGAGTTCCCTCTCACCCTGCCCCCAAAGTCTACACTCATCAATTTACAGCATGTCGAAATAGTTTCGGCCTTCTTAACAGGCTTAATCACCTTTCTTTTCCGTGTCCCTTATGTTTAGGGAACAAAGAGAAGTCTGAAAGGTTTCCCAGGGACATTCCTGAAGGACCGCTGGCGTTAGCTGTGAAAAGCAGGCACACCGTTGTGGGGAAATCCCTCGGTGCAATTTTCCTGCCCTTTTCCTCACCGATGCAGTTTTCCATCCTCTTAAAAACTTCCGTTCTTCATGAAGATCTGTCCCAATGGCTCCTTTGGGATTAAAAACCCAAACCAAACCAAAAACCAGTAGCCGTGACTCTCTGAGCTGAACGCCCTGACTCAATGTCATTTGTGTGGGCCTTCCAACTTTCCTTAAAATGTTGGATCCATCTAAAATGTGTTGTTTTGTGTCAGGCAGCATCCCTATAAACCTACTTGGAGGCTTCAAGGATTTGTGAAGAATACCCACTTGAGTTTTGTTCAAACCTCACAATCAGTATTTCCCACGGCACCTGCACAAAAATCCCCACCGCCTCTCTCTGTTCTTAAAAATCATCAGAACAAGACTAAGGCAAGTGTGTGACCGGAGGATGTGTCTGCAACCACCCACTGGACAGAGACATGTTTAAACATGTGGCATTTGGAATAAACCTATTTTGTATGGATCGAACCCCTTGAACCAATGCTTTTTGAGTTACCCGTTTACATACAAACCAATCCCATACTTTCAGCGTAGGTTTACCATGAGGAAAAGTATAACCAAAGGCAAAATTAGGTAAAAAGGATAGCACTTTCTTGCAGAAGCAAATGGAGCAAGGCTTTCTTGCAGATAATGCCTGTGTTATTTCAAGCCACGGCATGGTGGTCAGGGTCGTTTTTTGTTTTGTAACTTGTTTGCAGGGTCCACAACTGAAATGACATTATAGTTAATGAACTGAGAACCGCATGCCACTGGAGAATTCTTTGCCAACCAACATTAAGGTCACCGAGATGGCTTAGGCCCTGGTAACATTTCGATCTGTCACATTTAAGCTTGCCGTGAGTCTAAGGTACCCCAACAGCAACTAACCATGACAACCAAGATTTCCTTGCAGTCCCTGCATGGCGCAAACAAGTCACAAAAGCTCAACTGCTTGACAAAAGGTTAGGAGTTTGAGTCTGCCCAGAGGTGTGTCGGAAGAAAGGCCTGGTGATCTGCATCCCCCAAACTCGGCCACTGAAAACCCCCTGGGCACAGTCCTGCACTGACACACATGGGGTGGTGACCAGTCCAGATAGATTGGGCAGTAAGTAGAATGAGCAAAGGTTTCTTTGGGTTCAAATAAGTCAAGCCAGGCATTAAACTGTATTTCCAAAACAAAAAAAAAATTTTTTAAACAACCAAAACACATATTATTTCACCTGAGTCGGTATCACCAGCAAGTACAAAAGCAGCCCGCATCCCACTTCTTCTGGACATATGGGCTCCTTCTACACCAGTCAGATGGAAGGCAGAGGAAGAGCTTTATGTCTCTGGAACCCAAGGGTTACTCTGAAAAAATGGAGCAGCTTCTGGCGAGCCGTAGGGCTACGGGCCAACAGCTGAAACGGAGGCAGGAGCAGCCTTCTGGCAGGAACTGGGGTGGTGAAGGATGCTGCCAGAGCTTTCTTGGTTTGCGGCAGGTCCTGCGCTCCTCTGCCTGGAGCCAGACAGCACCAGTGTGCACTGTGGCGTGCCCAGCTTCTGCGCGCGCGATGCGGGCCTTTCCCTCCTCTTAAGGAAAATCAGATGCTGTGGAGGCACAGTGCTGGGCTACACCCTCCCCTCACAGAACCACACCAGTCCTGCTTCAACCTGTGTCTGAGACGGTTCCCTTCCGTCAAGTTAAGAGGGCATTCCTGTTCATTAAAATTGCATCGGCCAGATGAGAAGCTGCTCTGATGTTTCAAAACCTCCCTGCTGCCCCCCTGCAGAGCAGTCACCACAGTCTATTCTGTTTTGAAACTCCTTCTCCAGCCCTTCCACTCGTGCACAAGCTGGTGACCAGCAAACACGGGCCAATCATCTGGTCCCTGCAGTCACGAGACACTCGGCTTTGGCCCACTCACAATCTACACTTCTTCTCACCCTACACTCCTCTTGCCCCCAGCCCCGCTGCTTCCTCTTTCTTCTGCACTGATCATTTACTTGCCCTCCTGGCCCAAGAGCCCCGTGAGACCCCACACTGTGCTGGCACTGAGCCAGCTCTCCAGGGGGTCAGAAGCCGCCAAGCTTGCCTTTGGCAGAAAAGATTCTGTGGAGCAAAGACTGCCTGACAGAAGCTCCTTAGATGGAACTTATGATGAGATCGTTAGCTGGGGCAGGAGATGCAGCTCCATGCTTGGACGAGCCTAGGCACTGGGGACAAGCGCCCCTGCTGACCGCTGCCTGGCTGTGACCCATCGTCCCTGACCCTTCAGTTTCTGCTCCCTCAATTTTGACAGCGGGGCTAAATGATGCCGATGTTTATTCTTCTAAGGGGAAAATGAAGGCGACAACAGATAGGAAACATAGCAAGAGAACCCATAAGAGACGTGCTGGGAGGCATCTACCCGAGAGCTCTTATCAAGTCTCTGGCTCCTAAACTCAGTGTCTTCTTTGTAAGGAGGCTTCTGTAGAGTCAAATTCCATTGATATTTAAAATAAACAAAGAAGAAGCACCAGCTGGCATTACAACATCTATATTACAGAATTTCAAGACTAAGTCTGCTAGTCTTGGTAATGAGTTGTTTCTGGAAAATATGTGACCACGATTCTCTCTTTAGAAGTGTTTTTGTTTTTTTAAAAAATAATTGGAAGGGACCATATTCAGGGTTACGTATTAAATTGACCAGAAGCCCCCTTGCTAAAGTAGATGAGAACATGTACTCACCGGGTGAAATAGGCCTGCTGGAACTCGGAGAAGGTGTGTACGGGATCGGGCTGGACACAGTGCGAGGTCTTAGTCCTTGCGCGGACATCTCGTTAAAATACCTAGGAGCAGACAGGGGGGGCTGTGATCAGAACTGCCTGTGCTTACTTACATCACTAAGAAAGCTTAGTTGAAATGATTGGGGTTCACGTCCCGGGGTCAAAATCCCAATTGTTTAAGAGACTGGTGCTGTAGCTAGGACACGCTTTATAAACACAGATTTCAGAGTTAGTGCTCTGTGCAGTTTGGCAAGTCTCACTCCACAGGGGCATAGGTTAAGGAGCCCAGGATGCTTTAGCTCAGGATGGGGTCCTGTTGACAGGACTGGCCTTTCTTCGATCACACGACAGCTATGCAGAAAACCACCTCCTGTGACTTGTAAGGGCGTCCAAGTTTCAGTAGCAACATTTATATGGCTATTGAAAATTCAAAACGCCCGAGATTTATGGTACCCAATTAAAGCTTAACCGGTACCGATGAACTGAAATGTCCCTGGTTTACAAGGAAAGCCTTGGTTAACAAATAATCACACGTTAGTATGTAACAAGAACACACCGGGCACAGAGCACCCACTGCCGACGCAGGTGTGGTGCTGACGCTAGCTTCTTCCTGGGTTCTGAGGTCACATGGGCCCTGCAGTGCTGAAGCGTGAGCCCCAGGCACGTCAGCTTTCTTTGTACACCAGGCACAGAGTGCTGCCTACAAGAAATTTCTGCTTCAGAGGCTTTCTAACACCCCAAGGGCAGAGCGCTCACATGGGTACATCTTACTACTCCATGAAGCCTTGGTCTGGGGGGCCCACGCCTCCACTTGAGGCACTCGAAAATTCCCTTCAACCGGAACAAAACAGGCTCCCTTATGCGACACCTCTCGATACCTCTTCTCTACTAGGTGTTGCCATTGTTAGCCGCTGGTACGTCTGCCCCGACTCACAGCGACCCCACTGTCCAGTGTCGCCCCCACGATGAGTTGTAGATCGAACTTTTGTGCCTGGTGGGGTTTTCACTGACTGACCTTCCAAAGTAGATTGCCAGTCCATTCTTCCTACTCTCGTTCTGGCCTGCTGAAACCTGCTTGGTATCATAGCAATCCGCAAGCCTCCCCCGACAGACAGGTGGTGGCTGAGTGCAAAGTGCACTGGCTGGAAATCAAACCTGGGTTTTCCATGAGTGGCAAGAGCTTCTGCCATCCAATCACCTTTGTCCCCACGACCACTAGATAAACAAACAAGTCCATTACCATCAAGTTGATCCTGTCTCCCAGCCGCCCTGGAGGACAGAGTAAACGGTCCTGTTGAGTTTCCAGAGTTGGAATCTTTACAGTCGCAAAGTGCCACACCTTTCTACCGTGGGGTGGCGCCTCGTGGGTTTGAGTCACTGACAATTCAGTTGGCAGCCGAGTATCTTAACCTTGCCTGTGATTCCTCCCGCTGTCTCTACAGCAGCCCACCTGATTATGCTGCAGTGGCGGGCTTTCCTTGGTCTTCTCTATCTAGCAGGCAACTAGGAATGTCCCTGGGCCTTTAAGGAAGGGCAGATACACTTGGAGACATCTATGGATCAGACTACTTCTTCTCCCATGTGTGAGAGCATCATGCTGAGTAGGGGAGAAGTATTAACTGGACAGCTATAAGCTACCTGGGATACTCTGACCTATAAAAAAGGAGTGGTCGTATTATTCCCAAAGCAGCACCTGTCCTGCAGAGTTTCGATGGCATCTCACCCGAGGTTGTTATCAGGTGCCAGGTACGCTAACATGAGTCTGCTCAATTACATTACTTAATTTAAAAACTAGTCATCTATGCTGGAAAAAGTAGATTATATCGGGTTAGACTAGCCAAGGTTTTTAGTGGTGATAATTCTCAGAGGATGAGGAGGCTGTCAGAAGAGATTCGTGAAATTAGAAATTTAAAGGTATTTGTGTTATAAAACCAAGCTACTGAAGGAGGACAGAGAGGGAAGGGACGGCCGTCTGGCCATTTCCTCCAGATAACGGAGATGACTCTTGGTATTTCTGCCCATTTCACACTGGGACAATGACGGCGCTTGGTGCTGAGGTCTGAGCAGATAAATGCACTGCAATTTTTTCTTTTCTTTTTCAAAGTGGCTTTTAAAGGGCACCAAAAGTATCAAGAGGCCTAATGTTCAGACCTGTTTCTCAGTGACCCCCACTTTTCTCCGGCTGTTCTTTCCACACACGTATGCCTTTGTTCCCTCAGGCCCTGCCATGGGGCTGTGCTCCACACCCAGGACTTAGGATGCTCCTCATGCTTGCCACAGGAGGAGTCCAACCCAACAGGCACACACTCAGCCCCTCTACCATCACTCTGCCTGCATCTCCCTTCATACCAACCCACTTCCCATCTCCCTGTGCCCAGCCCCCTTCTCTGTGGGCTTAATCTCCTTTGCTTGTCTCATCTCAGCATCGTGACAAACTGTGCAAGCCAGCCCCCTCCACCGCTACCGGAACACACGGTTCTTCCACAGGCTCAGGAGACGGGCACACACCTCTCGTCATCCATTTCTAAGCTGGACTCGCTCTCAGAGAGCTGCCGACAGAGGGCTTCTCTTCTCTCCATCTCCCTCTGCAGCTTCCTTTGCAGCCTCAAGTTCTCTTCCCTCATGTGGCGTTCCTCCTCCAGGTACTGGGCCATTTTCTCCGAATCTGAAAAGCAAGAGTTCTCCATTAAGCCATGCTCTTTGCATTCATTCCCAAATCGTAACAGCAACAGGAAGAAAAGACAGCAGTAGTTCTCACTCAGGATTCCACGGGCATCCGAGGATCAAAGTTTACCAGTGATCTGTAGTTAGAAGAATGTCGGAAAGCCGGGCATTTCGATGCCAGGGCGGTTAGGCATCCCCACTCCTGTGAACGTACATGCTCATGTGTTTTGAGGGGCAGAGGAAGCCATAGAACTATAGCTAGGTTGAGCGAGAACAGCCTCTCTACATTACTAGAGCTGGAAGTGAGGGAGCTAAGTCGGGGACAGAGACTTTTCCCGGAGGCTCCCCTGAGGCACCGTTCATTCTCTTGCCCCTCAATTCCATATACTACAGGGCCAAGTCCTCTGTGGGAGTCTGCACTGCTTGTTAGCACCCTCGCTCTGCACAGGGCTGGCAGCATACTGAGAGCCCCGTGCTTGGCGATCACTCCCAGAACAGTTCTCATTTATGATCGCAGAAATTGACACTAAGCAAGAACACCTTAGAAGGAGATCTCAAACCAGTCTGATTTCTGATGTGCAGTCTTCTGTCTCCTTCGCGCTTTTGCTGCTCATCTGAGCCAGGCAGCAGGTGAAGCGCTGTACGGCCAGCACCTTTCAGAACAGTGGCTTCACTCTGACAGACACTCCAGGCTCAGGAGTGGCCCCCACACAGGCGGGATACTCCTACAGTGTCTGACTCCCAGGCCAGGGCTGATGGTCTCAGGGCTAGTTGATGGAAGAGACCAGGCCAGTTGGCGTCTCTCCCCAGCAATCTGTAAGGCAGAACTGAAATCCTGATGGCGCTTTAGGACCTTCTGCTGCTCCATTTCATGGAGCTCCGGCAGCCCCTGCCCTTGGGAGGCAATTCTGGATCTAGAATTGTGTGATGCATTCCAGCAGTCTTCCAGTAAATGCAGGCACATGCCCCCTCCTTTCCTGGTATGCATCGCCTCAGAATCTCTTGTTGCTAGTCAGCTAATAAAACAAATACAAAACTCAGAGTCTACCCATCTACTTGCTTCTATGTCTCCATTTCAGCCAATCACCTGGGGAAAAGTTACAGCTCCGTCTCCGTCGTCCCCAGCTACAGCACAGCCACAACCATGCCCAAGAGAGAACCCTAGAGGCCACTCTCCTGAATTGAAGGACGCGATTTAAGGAAGCAGCAGCTCAGCGACACACTAGCCATGGCTCTCCCACAAACTGACCCTTCTAGAACTCCCCAGGCCTATCTGATTAGTTGCTGTGACCATTATAAATAGTAGCAAGTTCATGTTTACCAAATAATAACATGTAGTGATACTCCGAGATCTCCAAGGCAGCATCCCTACAGAATACACACAAGTTCCTCTCTGGTGCGCTGATTTTAGAAACTCCAACAACAATACCAAGATTATGAAACCCTGGTACATGCACAAACACATGAAATCCCTCGGTTGCTTTCCACATTGCCAGAAACCCTGCTGTCTAATCCAGATGCAAAGCAATCTCTTTAATTGAAGGCATGCTGGGAAAATATTTACAAAATACACTTTTAATATAAACGATTTAAATGATTTCAATCCAAAAGGTGCAAGCTTGCAGGATTTTTCACTAGCTCTAAAGGAGTCCGAGATTGTTCCCACCCTGGATTATCTGTTGTCTCCAGACCCCGAAGGGTGAGTGCCTGACCAAGCTGCCATTCGCTTCCATAAACGAGCAAGCTGCCGAGTGGACCATGTGAGAGTCTCCGAGAACCGTCAGTTCGTCTTCTTTCAAAGAGACCAGCCATATTTCAGGGTCTTTGTAATCAGCACAGGGAAGCGAGAGAAAGGAACGTGTCATACTAGATGGCTGAAAGATGTCCTAGCAGTTTAGCAAGGAACACAGAAGCCAGAGGGAAAAGGCACCGGGTGCCACCCGTCCAAGAGTTTCAACGTCTGGCTCAGAGCATGGCATTTCTTGAGGGCCCTTTGCTGGCATACCTCTGATGATTCCGAGCTACATGGGAGACTGGTGGACTAGCATGAGTCTGTCCCCCACGTTCTCTCCAACAGAACTCCCTAGGACGCCTTAGTGGCTTGGCGTATAGGCAGGTCTCTCATCCTTAACTATCTCACAACAGGCCCAAGGCAGCAGCATCTGAAGGTGACTTCCAGGCCAACTCCAAAGAGTATTCTTCCATGACCCAAAGGTTGGGAAATGCCAACACAGGCCCCATTCCAGCCCGATTAAATCAGAGCCCCTGAAGACAAGGCCTAGCTCCTGGTATGTTAAAATCCCCCCTGGGTTGCAGTGATAAAAGCTCCCCTGTGATTGCAGTAGTTGACCAGTGTTGAACCCCTGGGAGAGGGATTCCACCTCAGTCTGGCTGAGGGACCTGTTCCCACAGCTGCAGCCAAGAGCCGAGGGTCACTGGGGCTGAGAAAGATGAGGCAGACAGACGTAGAAAAGGCATTCAGCCATTCTCTAAACCCAAGCCAGATCAAAGGATGCAGCTCCGTGCAAACGACTGCTGCTTCACTTCAGCGCACTCTGTCCTCACAGAATCCAAACACAACGACTGCTGGTATCCGTAGTCCCTTCCCATGGTGCAATAGGGAAATGAAAAACTTCTTCCTAAGTTTCTCCTAAAAATCTTCCTGGAGTCACAGCAAGGCAAGTCTCTCTAAGGAAGAAACCATACGTTGGCGGCATGAGTTATCGAGTCCAGAAGGATGGTGACGGTAAGTTTGCCTGGCCGGCACAGCACACACTAAAAAACCCCAGAGAGCAGTTCAGAGTTGAGAGCACCTGCATTGGTCTCATTTGTTTTCATGGGGTAGATGGAGCAGCTTCCGACTCTGTGGACACACCGGGATCGCCGGAACTACAGGAACAACAACAGTAAAAGGACCAGGCTCTCTTCCCAGAATAAACCAGCCCTGGAATCAGAATTATGGGGTGAAGAGAAAAACGGCTTCCGAAACATGTCGACATCCTAAATCCCTGTAACTGTGTCTGTGGTCCCGTCTAAGGTTAGAGGGGTGCTGCAAATGGACTAAGATTCTTGAGATGGGACATGATTCTGTCTACAGGGATCACGAGCACCCTTCAGAGAGAGACATAGGAGACTCAGAGTGAAAAGGAGATGTGACATTGGAAACGGGTGGGCTGGTCAGGAGCCGAGAAACACCGGTGGCCCGAAAAGCTGGGAATGGAGAAGATGGGTGCTTCCCCTGAGCTCCCAGAAGGAGCCAGCCCTGCCAGCACCTTGACTGGAGTCCAGTCAGACTCACTTTGGGATCCTAACCTCCAGAACTGTGCAGTAATATGTTTAAATTTAAATATGAATCAAAAACGAATCGATGGCAATGAGTCTGGCTTGCGTTTTGGAAGTTTGTGATCATTTGTTACAGCAGCCACAGGAAGCTAACACGTGGTCTTGTTCACAAATTCCACAGATGATCCTGAGGCGCCATCCGGATGCATCCACTGGACCAGAACATACAATGGAGCCCAAAGAAGAACAAACGACTAACATGTCACGTGTATATCCCACAGGACCAAGCACCTCCACCGTCTGGAGTTTATCTAAAGATGGTCTTACACTGGTCTGTGCACAGGGGTGTGCGTGCATGAGGATGCACACTACAGCACTATTTGAAAGCGTGAAAGTTCCTAAAGACTGCTTAAAGAGGCCCACTTGGATAGAACTAGTTAAACTAGGGCCCGTGCATGAAACTGGAAACTAGTAGCCTTTAAAAACGGGAGTAAGACAACTCTATGTATTGCTGCTGTGTGCTGTGGAGGCAATTCCAACTTACAGTGACAGAGAACTGCCCCAGTGGGTTTCCAATGCTGCCATTTTTTCCTAAGCCGATCGCCACATACAGCTTTCTCCCAGCCAGTGGCTGGGAGGTTCGAGTCCCTGGCCTTTCACTTAGCAGTCGAGTGCTGAACTATGGCACGGCCAGAGGGAAAAACACAAAGATGTAACACGTAAAACCGGGAAAGCACAAAGAAGTGTGTTCGCTGTGCTACTATTTGTCTACAAGAAGCTTCTACCCAAACACGAATGCATCTTGGGGAATATACTTTAACAGTGTGACTGCCGTGGCTGGGGACGTCCAGGGATGCGTCTGGACACATTCCTCATGGATAGCCATGTGTGTCTGTGTATGTGTAGATACAAATACACACTTTGATAGCACAAAAGCAGAAGGCGGAAAGAGCCCGCAAAATGCACAGAGACCTGAGCAAGTATTCAGAAATCTTGTTGTTTGAATTGTCAACTCAAATCCTGGTCTTTTTTCTAAAGTAGTAAGCACCCATTTATTCCAACTTCCATGCCTTCACGTCCCCCAAGGGCACCGCAGACGCTTGCAGTGTTCGAGTTAGCCTGGTGCCAGTGATGACCAGAAGCAGGGAGGGGACCAGATTAAACGTGTTACCTCTGACTTCTGGATCTTCCTGAAATTAATTCATGTTCTAAAGCTATTTTAAGCTCTTTGTCATTTTTTTTTTGCACCCCCCTCCCCCGTCTTTGTCCTTCTATACTACCTCACGTCATCTACTCCAATAATAAAATTGACTTGAAGACTGCCTAATGGGCACAGAATTTCTGCGTGATGAGTATCTTAATGCTAAACACACGAGATGGCTGCATGACATTGTGAATATGTAGCTCATGGCACTGAATTATACACCTGAAAAGCTGTTAATGGTTACTTTTATGTCATGTGCACTTTGCCTCAATTTAAAAAATGAAAAATCAAATCCCTGTGCACACACTCGATACTTGGGTGAGAAGGCCTCCAGGAGAAAGTCCGAGAGGTGGGGTTACGAGGTCAGACACAATGTCCCTGTTCAGGGGTCAGTCATTGTTATCTTCCGATTTTCCTCCCTGCAGGTCACCGCCGGCTCCAGTCCAGGGATGCATCTCGGACGGCGTGTCCGGAGCACTCGTGGAGTCCCTTTTTCTTTCTCAGCCACCACGGTGTGCGCAGCCAACTTCCATCCTTGCTACATATTCCTACAAGTCTTCCAGGGTCGAGAGATTCCGAGCCCAGAGGCCAGAGCAGCATTGTCTCTGCCCCCAGTGGACTTGAATGAAAGCAGGTGATAAAACCAACGCCAACAGGAACCCAGCTGAAAAGCTCCGCGCCATCTCAACAAACTGAACATGTGGGGCTGGGAGAATTCTCTTCCGTCTTCCGTGTTTATGCTTCTACATTAGACACTTGGTTCAGGAATATATGTCACACCTTTTGTTTGTTAAAAAGAAAGGGGGGAAAATCACTCTTGAAAAATATCTTTAAAATAGTGTGCTCGTTTCCTATAGCTGCTGTAACAAATCATTACAAACTCAGAGGCCTGAAACAGCACCGTCTTATGATGTGCAGTCACCCTCGCACATCTGTAATAGAACCCTGTGCATGGTAAATGCCAGCGGCGCTCTGCGTGCAGTGAAGCCATTCATGCCTTGACACAAGCCCAGGAAAACCGGCGACTACGTACGCTGCAACTGAGCAGCTCTCAGCTGCTTCTTCAGCCTCTCCACTTCGTTCTTCAAAAACCTGATGTGGCGCATCATGTTCTCCGGCGAGTCGATCTCCATGGAGATGTCTCTGGGCGAGGGCGGAGCCGAGACGGGCTGGTCTAATTTCTCCTGCAGGATTCTTCATTGACAAGGAAAAAACCCAACAATGAAAAGCAGTTTGTCTTTAAAACATAAAACAGACTAACAGCTGGCGAATTTGTTTTCAAAAACACATCCTGCTAATTGCCAGAGTCCACAAGGCTGCTTAACTGTTCTTACATTAATTTCTGGATCCCCTTATCTGATATCGCAGATCAAAGGGGTAGAATTAAGAGATTTACACACACACACACACACACACACACACTTTTTCTGTTACGTGTTCTGCAATGACCACTGTTAACTCTACATTTAATATTTGGCTTTTGGCTGTTACATCTGGTATACAGCACACCAAACTCAACTGACTGCCATCAAGCCGATTCTGACCCACAGTGCCCTCACATCGGGCTTCCGAGACTGCCAAGTCTTTACAGGGCTAAGGAGCTCATTATCCTTTCAGACTAGCTGATGGATTTGAACTGCCAGCCTTCTGTCAGCAGGCCAACGCCATGCCCACAGCCACACTGGAGCACAACGGTGTTTGCTATACGGGTTATAATACAAGTAGGTTCTCAGCACAAGTATAGGAGGCTCTCAGAATTCTGTTCCCTACATTGGAGAAGGGATTCTTCTCTCCCCATATTTTTAGTTGAAATGTATAAACTCAAGACTCACTGACATCGAGTTGATTACAACTCATCGTGACCCTGTACGACAGAGTAGAAACTGTTCCTGTGGGTTTCTGAAGCTATAAATCTTTAAGGAAATGGAAAGCCTCGCCTTTACCCCCCAGAGCCACTGACAGATTTGAACCACTGGCTGTGGTTAGCAGCTCAGTGAACTGCCCACGCCCCACCACCAGGACCCCAGACGTATAAACTACCCACTGTGAACGTCAGATTCCTGGGGTGGGGTGCGCAGTGTGGGGTTTGGCTACAAATCCAAGACAGCTGTTCAATCCACCTCAGGGTGCCTGCGGAGAAAAGCCTGGCCATCTACTTCTAAAAGACGACAGCCATTAAAAATCCTGGGTGCCTCTAAGCTGGCACAAACTCAAGGGCGACTGCTTTTTATTGTTTACTGTGAAAGTTCTTAGAGGTTTGAGTCCCATAAAGACTGGGTTCTGACTGTGAGAGAAGACAATCAACTTTGAAAATCCCTACTTGTAAAACATGTCCGGAGGATGGGGATTGAAGGCCCTTTGCTACTGGATGCCGCAGACTGGGAGAGAAAGTGGCGCCATGCCCGGCCGGCCTTAGGCTGCATCCTGGGAAAGTGCTGATGCCCAGCAGCTTCGACCTCCAGAACGACTGGTCTGGGCCGGTCAGCCTGGCAATCTGAGGCTGCTGGAGGAAAGGCCCCCAACATTCTACAAAGGGGCTCACAGCTCCTTTCAGTAAGCTGCTGGGCTCCTCAGTTTGGTTTGTGACTGTTTCCGTCTCTTCCATTGCCAAAGGCTGAACTGTGATTTACCACCACGTCCGTCATTGCTGAAGAAATGGATAGGTTAGGTATGGTGGTGGTTTTCCAGACTTGTGATATTAAGTGACTTGTCAGAATTTTATTCACGTCATTACAGCAGTGCCCGAGAATCCCCAGAGCAGTGGTTCTCAACCTGTGGGCCGTGGCCCCTTTAGGGGTTGAACAACCCTTTCACAGGGGTTTCCCGATTCATCACAGTAACAAAATTAGTTAAGTAGCAACGGAAACCATTTTATGGTTGCGGGTCACCACCACATGAGGAACTGTATTAAAGGGCCCCGGCATCAGGGAGGTTGGGAAGCACTAGCCAGAGGCACTGGGCTGCTACACTGAAAGTCAGCAGCTGGCACCTACTGGCACTCCTTGTGAGGAAGATAAGACAGCCTGCCTCTGCAGACAGTTACAACATCAGAGACCCATGAAGCCGTTGTGCTGTCCTACAAAGTCACTGTGAGCTGGAATCAAGCCAACAGCAGTGGCTGGGTACAGTAATGTACAGCCTAATTGATTCAATTATGGCTTGAGCATTCCCCTGTAAACGACCCTTACTGTTCTTCAAGATGAATGGCAATATGTCTATATTAAGCAGATTTAGCGAACTCTAAATAGTTTTTCAACATCCGTGTCCAATGTTTTCCAAAGTGCCTCCTGGGGGGCACTGAGACATCCAGAGGGGCTGCAAAAGCAATTACCTACACTTCATCCTGGATTATGGGTGACAGCGCAAGTTTTTAATTGCCAAGGGGTCGCTGGGTAATTTTTAAAATTTTTTTCCTGGAAAGGGGGTGGTAGCCCAAATAGATTTGGGAACCTAACTAAACAAAACTATCTTGGTAAGTGAGCTAATATAAACATTTTCAGGAAGCTTACCTCTTCTATACCCATTTAGCACACAGAACTCGCCTGTCATTCTTCAAAGCCTTGCCTTAGCACTCCCAAAGCATGTGGTGCTTTCAAATAAGGACCTGATCAATCTTGCACTAAGGGGTCAAGAGAGGGGCCCTTGTGGGTTACAAACAGGGCTGCCAACCTCAAGGTTAGCAATTTAAAACCACCGACCTCTCTAAGGAAGAAAGTGAGGCTTTCTACTCTCATAAAGAGTTACAGTCTTAGAAACTCACAGAGGCTTTCCTAACCCATACGGTCACTATGAATTGGAATCAGCTCAAAGGTAGTGAGTATGTTTTTTTTGAGGGGGTTAAGAAATGTTTACAGTTGAATTCAATGACATTCCATATACACACACACACACACACAAACACATACATACATACATACACATGTCTGTATATAAATATCTTAACTCAAAGAATCTTCACTTTAAATATGCATAAATATTTCTTTGCAGAAAGTTTTAAAAATACATAGATGGCAATATTTTTATATTAACATATCAGGCTTCCTAATGAAGTGAATTTTACAGTAAATCCTCACTACTCTGGGAAATAATGGAAAATGCCAGCTCCACAGATAAGCGTTAACCCTGCAGCCTTCCTGCAGAACAATGCAAAGGTCAACATCAGTGCTCATGACTAATTTCCGCACAGGCTTGTAATGTCAAAAGAAAAAGAAAATCCACTGGGCGCGTCAGATAGAGATGAACACAAGGTGGAAAACATGGGAACTGTTCCAAAGCCTTCCAACAAACGAAAACAACAGGCATCGAGCATCAGTTCGTCATTTGTCACTACTTCTTATCCCACGGCGACACTGTGAAACAGTAGCCTGAACGGATGGAGACACACACACACACACACACACACACACACACACACACACACAGAGAACAGTAAAACCAAACAGACCGCTTTTCAGCTTCAAGTTTATCCATCCTTTTCCAGAGACGATTAACCAGCGCTTCTTGTTCTTGTTCCAATGTGTTTTCAAGGTCGATCTTCTCCCGTCTCAACTAAAGGGAGGGAGGAAAAAGAAAAGTTTTACTGAGAATTACAAGCCACGTAAATTCTGGTAATTACATTTTTTTGATGGAGCAGTTAGGACCTCTTCCTGGGCGAACACTGCAAAGAAAGGGCCAGTTTTCTGCCACAGGCACATTAATTGCATCTGGTCCCTAAGCTTTAATTGAAAAACCAAGACAGATTCATTCATTCCTCGACGTTAAGGCTTAATTGTTGTCTGGCGCATGAATCACACTCCTAGTCTCGGCATCTCATCAAGGCACGCGCAGTCTTCCTTGAGAAGCTGGGGAGCTTCTTACTGCTCACTGGCCATTCCAAGACGGATCTGGCTTTGCCCCTTTAGTGCTGCTGCTGCTGCTGCTGCGTAGGTGCTGCCCCGTCAGTCAGTTTCCACTCAGAGCCACTCTGTTCAAGAGTGAAAGAGCCTGGCCCTGCCCCGTCCTCACAATCATTGCTGCCCTGAGGTGCCAATCCTTCCTGCCAAAGGCCTTCTTTTTCACCCACCTGCAACTTTACCAAACACAATGTCCTCCGCCATGGGCTGACTGGTCCCTTCTAACAATCCTCCAGTTAGCGAGGTAAAGCGCTGCCACCCCTGCTTCCAGGAGTGTTTCTGGCTGCTCCTTCCCGCCGATTTGCTTGCTCTTCTGGCATCGCCCGGTGTAGTCAATGCCCTTCTCCAACACCGTATTATAAGTGCATCAATTCTGCCGTCTTCCTTAGTCACTGCGCAGCGATCTCGTTGATCTGAGCTGACGGAACATATCATGGCTCGGAGCAGGCTGGCGCTTCGTGCTCCTCAAAGGGCGACCTTTGCTTTTTAACACTCTTTCTAAAGAGGTCTTTGCACAATGCTATACAGTCTTTGATTCCTAACTCTTTCTTCCGTGGCAGATTACGGATTCAAATGACATTAAGCCTGTGACAACTTCAGACTTCTCTCCGTTTGCTTTGATGTCGCATGATGGTTCAGTTGTCAGGATTTCTGTTTTCTCTCGGTTCGGGTCTAATTCACACTGAAGGCTGCAAGAGTTAATCATCCTCGGTGAGCGCTTCAAGTCTTTGCCTTCTGTTAGCAAAGCTGTGTCGCTGCATACAGCAGGCTGCTTGTAAGCCTTCTGCCCATCTTCATGCCCTGTTCCTCTTCATTGGTCCACCTCTCAGAGTATGTGCGCAACATACAGACTGAATAGCATAGGGAGAGGACACGACCTTGATTTTCCTGAGACCTGCATGTAGACAAACGGTCCACAACAAACCCGTGATTGTGATAACATGGTTCTAGCTCTTCAGCAAGTGAAAACAATTTTTATACTAGTTAACAGATGCACATAAATATAAGCTGAAATATGCACACACACCAAGAAAAAAAAAACAACCAACAAATCCATTATAGTGGTTACCCCTGGGCAATGGGCAAGGAAAGAGGGAAATGTGACGTCAGAGGTACTCCGTAACTGCATTCTACTCAGGAAAAGAAGCCCGGGTGGAAGCAATCTTTCAAAACTGCGCAATATCCTATAAAACCTGAGAAGAGTATCTGGCAGCTGCTAAGTAGTAATGCAGCAAGAAATCAGGAATTTTCACTGTCATAGAATTTATCTTCACTGGGGCTCAAGATCATAAATGAAACAAGAAGATTTTATATACTTTGTTAGATAGAGGACGATGGGTGACATGAATTAAAATGGGGCTGGTAAGAGTTCGGTACAATGATAAATAGTTTTCAGAGCATGGACAAGAGTGTTGTGTATCATTCTCTATACTTATCTATGTGTTTTTAAAAATAATTTGGGGGAGAGGGTGGGGGTGGGTAGGTGGAGGGGAAATAAAAATAAATAATCTTTAAAGAAAAATTTTTTTAAGGGCTATGCTACTTCCCGACTACCTCTCGAACCAATGTTAATTCACCATCCCACATGTGGAACAGATGGTTAGGTCAACAAATTATTTGTCACACAGCTGCAAAGATGCTGAAGTGGCAGGCGTCCCATTTCCCTAGTGGGCCAATGGCAAGCTCCTCATTGATCAAAGAGCCCGTGTATGTGCAGCAAGGCTGGACCAATTAAGATGTAAAAACGTAGCCTTCAAGCAAAGCATCCAATGTGGAAAAACAACGTGTGAAGTACGGTTTCATTTTTTTTAAATCTTATTGTGAAAATGTATGGAACAAAACATATCGTCTCAACAATCTCTATGTGTTTAATTCAGGAACATTGATCACATTTTCAAATTGTACAACATTCAGTTTTTCCAAATCATCCTAAGCCCCAGGTACATACCCTAGTGCCCCCCCCACTGCCACCGCCCAAATTCCCCTTATCCCACACCCGGCTCCTGGTGCTGCTCATGGCCACGGAGCCGATTCCTACTCAGATGACCCCATAGCACAGGGCACGACTTCCCGTTTGGGTTTCCCAGACTTCAAATCTGCCTGGGAGCCAACAGCCTCAGCTGACTCCTGGTACCCACTCATCACCTTTGGTTTCTCTCCTTTTAAATGTTCATATACGTGAGATCAAACAATGTTTGTCCTTTTGGTGACTGACTCCGTTTCCTCCAGCATGAGGTTCTCAGAGTTCACTCAGGCTGCCACGGCCTATGTGATTTTATCGTTTTGTACGAGAGCGAACATTCCCCTGACAAGTCTCTTAAGTCTTCAGGCCAAAAACCCTAAAAACAAACTCCAACCCCTAGAAATAACCAGCACAGCACATCTTGTCGGGCTGTTGTCGTGGTCACCATGGAGCCAGCCTGGTGAACGGCCTGTCCCACACCACACCGGCAGCACAGGCCGCTCTCTGAAGGCCAGCGTTTCCGGGCCTCTGCCATGTCCCAGACAGGGTAGGTATTTATCAAATAAGTTGTCTCGAAATGGAAACAATCACAAATGGGGGGAAATAATGTAAAGATACTTAAACGATCACGCCCACATTTAGAAAAAAGCTCTAGAATGAATGTACAGGGGAAATATTCTCATCTGACAACACAAATCCCCACCACGTGTTCCTTTTCTCCTCCCCATGCCACAAAATAGTGTTAGAAAGGATTTGTCTAAAATAACTTTTGAATTTGCATGAAACAAGGCTTATGCTGTTCAGTATAGTTCAACACACTATTGCCAAATACAGGGAGACTCTGTCAAAGATGCCCCCACCCCCACCCCCACCCCCAGAGGCAGTTCAAAGGGGTGCTTAGGATCACAGACCTTCAGCCAATGCCTGCGTTCCGATCCCGGCCCTACTCCCTCCCAGATGGGAGCCATCGGAACGAGCAGCAGAGCGGGCCAAACACTGAGAACTGCCCGACACGCCATCCGTGTACTCTCGGTACTTGCAGGTGGTTTCGATCCCCACGCTGGATACCTGCTCTGCTTCTGCTCAGCGTGCTAGAATGTGAGCTCTCCGCGGCTCGGGATTCCACTGATGTCTCCTCAATGTCACCTATAAACACTGACAAGCTTATTTGACGAGTAAAAGAGCCAAGGTCACATCAACCACTGACAGCTGAATGCACTCACTCCTCTCAGGCCCAGACTGACCCACAGGACCTTGTCTGCCACAAACCCAACCCCATTGACATCCAGCGGGTTCCAACTCACAGCGACCCTAGAGGTCGGGGTAGAGCTACCCACTGCGGGTCTCTGAAGCTGGAACGCTGCATAGGGTTAAAAGTTTCCTGTTTCTCCTTCAGAGCAGCTGGTGGGTTCAAACTGCTGACCTTGGGTCACCAGCACCCTGTGCCAGGCTAACTCTCAGATGCTCCTTGGAATGTCAAAGAGCTGCTCCCGGCAGCAGTGAGGAGGAGAAATCACGAAGCACCTAATTGAACTCTTGCTGAACGCTGCCATGCGCTGTACTCATGACATTTCTGGGCAGCCTGTACAATCCACAGCCACGTCTTTCAAGAAACAACATTCCAAGGCCTTTACCCTTTCAGGATTCCACTCTAGTGTTTAATTAAAGCTCAAAGCATTACGGGAGACACTCGGTATGGCATGCAAGAGAAATGAAGCAGGTCAGCTGTTACAAGGCCATGCCTGGCAGAGAGACCGTGCCCGTTACTTTCAATTACTTAAAAGTACTTGTTTTTTGAGGGGTGGTGTTTGTTTACTTGCTTTTGTTAGCTCCAACTCAAATGCTAATCAACAATTTGGATGTGTGAAATCAAGACAAAGCTATAGCAGCCCCATGGCTTTCGGCAAGTTACCTACCTGCCCGGAGTCTCAAGTCCTCCTGTTAAGAAATAAGGTCAGTCTAACGACCTCCTCTGAGGGTACCCATTCAATCATTCTCTGTCCAGTCTCAAGAGGACCGTGGTCACTGCTCACAGGACAGTCCAGTTACATGCATTTAGAACCAGATAAGCAAGAAGATGATCAAATCCACCTTTAAGAATTAAGTAGAGCACTAGCCCGAGAAGTGACCTGACTGGAGCCAAGTGTTACTACGTGGGTTGGCAGGGCTCTTCACCACTAGTGTGGGCAGAAGAGCAGGTGGTCTTGACCTACCACCAAGAAAAGGGAGTCTTGAAGGCGATGGGAGTGGAATAAGTCACGCTGTGCTTTGTAAGCCTGTTTCTGATGCCAACGATACCTTCCAGGTAGGGGGATGATGGCAGGGAATGAAGGATCGTTCAGGGAGTCTGAGAGAAAGCACCTAAGGAAACTTACGTCAATCTCGGACTCTTTCTGATACCTGTTGGTGAAGCTGGCTAGCTCTCACTATACCCCTCACCCAGCCAGCCAGGGCTCCGACTATGAAACGCAAGCCCACTGTCCACATCGCTCTACCGGTTGATCTTCACAACAGTGCACACTGGACGGAGTTCAACATCCTGGATGACCTTGGGATTTCCATTACAGAGGCTGGAGCCAGAATGATCTTCAGCAGTGGTTCTCAACCTTCCTAATGCCGCCACCCTTTCATACAGTTCCACATGCTGTGGTGACCCCCCAACCATACAATTATTTCGTTGCTTCTTCATAACT